ACTAGCTGGAGTTGAGGGAGAGGTGTTTGGGGGAGGCCGTAGAGGAGGGATTTACAATAATCGAGGCGGGAAGTGACGAGGCTGTGTACAAGGATAGCAGCGGTGTGAGGGGTAAGGGAGGGGCGGAGTTTGTTGATGTTGCGGAGGTGGAAATAGGCTGTGCGGGTTAAAGTGTTTACTCTAAAGACATAATCCCTTACATTTCAGTTTTATACATGCCTTCTGTTCTTTATCGCACTTTTAAACATAATCATTAGTCATAAAATGAGTGGGCGGAGGAGCGGAGCTGTGACTTGACCTCTTTGGGTGTCATTACTGTTTTTTGCCAAAGGCTCATTTTAGTGCAATCACTTTTCGACCTTTTCCCAGCTCCTTCAGTCTGCTGCAAACTTTTGAGCTGTATTTTCTATATCTTCAATGTCAAGAAAAGAGACAAAAGAAATGCAGGATGAGAAATTAGATACTTAGCAGTTGAACCGTTAACAGACAGGATACAGACGTAGAGAGTACCGTATTTTTCGGACCATAAGGCGCACAGCATTATAAGGCACAATATCAATGAACGGGAATATTTTCATACATAAGGTGCACCGGGTTATAAGGCGCATTAAGCAAAACAATTAAGTGGAACAATCAAGCATGCCCGGATCCCTCCCGTCAATATCCGAGTCAGTCTAGGTGCTGTTAATTAACTGTTCAGTGATGATTCCAGCCTTTGAGACTGATACCTTACATTTGAGACTGATACCTTAGCCCAGGCATCCACGATCCATTGGCAGATAGTGGGGTAACTCGCCCGGCGTTGCATCCCTGTCTTGGTGAATGTGTTCGCCTTCTGTCATCCAATGCTCCCACACAGCTCGCAATTTAACTTTAAACACCCTGTTAACACCAATATTTAGCGGTTGGAATTCTTTGGTCAATCCACCCGGAATGATGGCAAGCCCTGAATTAGTTTGCTTCACTTGGGTTTTGACAATATCGGTGAGATGGGCGCGCATGGAGTCGCAGATCAATAGGGACGGAGATTTGTGGAAAAGGGTAGTGACCTAAGTTGGACACTGAAGGACGCTGTTGTTGTTGTTCGCCCCTCCAGAGTCAGGCGGTTGTCACTATTTTTGTTCTGGGTGGTCACCGTATTGTTGTTTTGACGCTGTTCCGTGCGGAAGTGCGGCTGTTCTTTTGTAGAGAGAGTGTGTGTTTGTCTGCATTGATAAAAAGGAGAAATAAAAAGAGTTTTTGACCACGAAAAAAAATCGACAGCCATGCGTCTGAGTCGTCTTGCATCGCACCATACATCGACAATTCAAAAACACAACGCAGAGTCTCTGGGTGTTGGGAGGCACGACGCGACGTTGCACGGATTTTGGTTTCACAACTATACTGTAATAATTGTTGTTGAGCATCTTCTAATTGTGATAACAGAGTTAAACGTCATTGTTGGCTCCCAGTGTGCTTCAGTTGTGTGACATCATGTGTGATGCACGGTGTGGTTTGGCTTTATAAAATTGGTTCGAGGTCAGTAAGCGCAACCAGAAGTAATACATTAGGCGCACCGGGTTATAAGGCCACTGTCGATTTTTGAGAAAATTACAGGTTTTTAAGTGTGCCTTATAGTGTGGAAAATATGGTATTATGTAATATCTGGACACTCAAATTGGACAAGTTGGTGGAAACAAGAATAAATACATTGAATGAGTGACTTTGACATACATTAGTACATAAAGTTTTAACAGTCCCAGAGTAATGGACAATGTAGAAAGCGGTACAGTAAGTGAGTAACAGAAGGGTTTCCTCAATGTTGTATGATGATACTGAGTAAAAGATAGAGACTTGAGCTGGAGTCAGCAGAGTTAAAGATGCTGAGATTCTCATTGGATGAACACCCCAATTAAATATAACGTGGTGTTCGATTAGATTAGATTGAAGATTAATGATATTGGGACACTTGGGAATAGTACTTCCACTAGCAGTGGACTGAGTAGCAGATGAAGCATCTGTGGTAAATAAGTACATGAAGATATGGAGTTGAGGAGTTGAGGTGAGGAAGACAAAGTTAGACTGAAGGAGATGACCCACTGTGATGGCCACTGAAGGCAGCAGCCAGATATAGGATATAAAATACTACTATTACCGCCACTAACACTTTTCACTACTCAATGGTTTTTTAAATTACCATTTATTTTCAACCACTGCTGCTATTATTAATAGCAGTCATGCTACTTTTACTCCAACTTTTACTACTGTACCACTGCTATTTCACCAGTGCTCCTTCTTCATTGATAATCACTGCAGCATCTAAATTCAAATATTAGTCAAACCAGTATTATATACAATTTTTCCCTGCTAATTCTACTAAATTTATAAAGTAGTAGTGGTAGTAGTAGTTGTCAAAATACTACTACCAGTCCTATTATTACTACTGTACTACTACTTACTGTTACTTATACTGTTACTTCAGTTAATAGTGTGTAGGAAACAACTACTCCTACTACTACTCTCACATAACTTTGGCTACTCTTTAGTTATCACTGCTAGGAGTACTAGTCTTTCTTTTAGCAATACTGCTACTGTACTACTAATTCTACTAATTGCTAATGGCAAGAGTCTGCGGTACAAAAAGGTTCAAGTAAATTCTACATGTTTACCATTTATGCCAACTTTAAGCTAATACAGAAATGTATTGATCAAGTTCTAAGCGCTTGAAGTTAGTTCACGTTATTGAAGTGAAAATGTGGTTTTGAGTTGAGCGCAGGTATGGGAAATGTTGTACCCATTCTGCTTTTATTGTGAAAACAAAACAGGAAGTTTTGTTTTGAAATTCCTCTCACTTGACAGAGCATGACCGCTCCACTATTTTGACGGCGGAAATGAGGAGTTGCCACTTTTTTTCGGGTCAAGTTCGTAGCTGGAACTTTTTTTTGTTCTTATCCTCCCCTTATTTTTTCGCCTGTATGAGGACAAGGCGACGCAGACTGTAACCATGAGAGAGAAAACCCGTGGTTCTCCCAGCATGCCGCTTCTCATTTGAGGCTCAAGCGACTTCGCCGACGTGGTTTTTACTTTTGTCGATACATTTCCGTTATGCGAAGCCCAACTTGTTGCTTAGCTGTCGTGCTGCGGTGGATCAACGTCCGAGATAACGGAGTAGGTGAGTCTACTGTCAGCGTTTATTTACATTCCTGATGCTCTGCCTCAAAAAGTGCTTTTACCACTAGTCTTGTTCCAAATGACCAACAGCACCACGACACCTCTCCCCAATTTTAACTTTCTTTGCTTTGCTTTGAGGGAAAAAATGTTCTCGTGTGAAATTCAAACGGCTCTCCGCTGCTCTCTGACCCTGGCTCTGTTGATACATACGCACATCCCTCTGACCAAAATACTGTACATTCTCCTCTTTGCATGAACCTTAAAAAAAAACAGACTCAGTAAGCATTAAATGAGTAAAAATCTGTATCAAAATCCCGGTACAGTATTTGTATTTGTGTTTTAACCTAAAATAAATATTTAAATTAGTCAATCAAATAATTTCTTATATTTTTATATTTTATTATTATATTTTTAAGTATATATTGTAAAGTTTTAGTTAACTAATTAAGTAACTAATTCTCTTAGCTTATGACAAACTGTCGTTTACACAATTTTGCATTCTAAGAATAGTCAATATTTTTGAAAATATTTGTCTATGGAAATCTCATGAAATGTCAGTCTTTACCATTGTGTTTGATCAAAACCAACGGAAACTGGTCAAATATAACTGAAAAAAACACATTATGTTGCTTCCTTTTTTAATTCTTTGAAACATATATATATGTATGCTACATAGGACATTTGTCACTCAAGTCATACCACATTGTTGATTGGTTCGTGGATTCACATGGCATTTACAAAGGTTAACTTAGATGTTAACACAGCTATGGTGGCAAAGCAGAACTTGGTGCAGTGTGTCTACTTGACACACTGCACTTGTTTTGTTATGTACAGTATGAAGTATATATGAAAAGAGTGATTGGCTGTTTGATTTTAATATTTCATGGTTTTCTTGTGCAGTGGGTATGGGGATTGCTTTCCAGCTAGTAATTTTTTTTGGGGGGGGGGGGGTCAGCTCCAGCTGTGTGCTGATGTTAGGCTCTTAACCAACAGAGCAGATTGCAGGTCTAGATTAATGTGAGGTTTTATATAATCAAGTGCCATCCACCATAAAATAGCCGTGTCAAGTCATGTGTGCAGAGTTTTGCTGTGGCAAGCAGCATTAGATGAAGAAGCTTAAACTAAGTCGACATCTACTATATATATCACAAATATCCAAAATGGTTGAACATAGTGGTGTTTTCAGTAGGGTTGTTTTGCTCTAATGGTCAATTCAGCCTTTCATATTAGCCAAACTTAGAGTCATAAAAGCACAAGAGACAGGAAAGAAGAGACTTGCCTCCAGGGAAGGGAAGTTATCGTACCATCTAGAGCAGTTCAGTCCCGTACTTGCTTAAACAGCTTGAGGAAAACAAGCATTTTTTGTGCAGGCACAGAGGCATTTATTACTAGTTAGAAACCCTACTTATGAAAAGTACTGTACTACTCATTGTCTACAGTTCAAACTTTTTATATGCCACATTTAAAACCCTTTGGTAGAGTACTTTCCTGCCCATAATGTTTGTTTTCCCTAAGTTGCTGTTAGCAAAAAAAACATGGTGTCACTGTTTTCTTATACAAATCAGAATCAAATCAGACTACTATAGATACATATATTTAAAACATTTGAATTAAAACTTTACCATAGCCATTGGGCATACCCATGCTGTACACATGTAGTAATTAAAGACTTCTTGTACTGAGGGGCTGAGCGGAAAGACTGTTCTCTTGTCTTGACTAATTCTTTGAGTTGAGAAACTACAATGCTGGTCTCTTCACCAACATTCTTTTGTGCAATATAAATTAAAACAAATACATGTATGTTTTCTTGAACAAATAGAAAGCTCTGTATTCACAGCTATCGGTGATACTTCAGACAATGTCATGGTCCCGTGTCTTTAACTGAGATGTTAT